ACAAACTTGCTAAGTGACCTCACCAACTTGCTCAGTGACCTCACCAACTTGCTCAGTGACCTCACCAACTTGCTCAGTGACCTCAAAAACTTGCTCAGCGACCTCAAAAACTTGCTCAGCCGAGAACCAACATAGTTTTGGCCCTATTGTAGATACTGCTATAATGCTTACAAAGAGATATCAGTAAATAATAGTACTTGTTATCATAGCTGGCAGTTGGTCTTTAGTTTTTGTAATATATTATTCATTTCTGATATATTTTGTGTTATTAAATTTGTTATTGTCAGATATTTTATCAACACAGAAGAGCTATAGTTCCTTGCATAGACTTACGTAACACAAATGTGCGACGACATATGGCAACACGAATAAAAGCGGAATATTTTCTTGCATCACACATTGATAATATGTTTATTAAACTCTCACCAAAGCCTAAACCGTGACGTCCTTTTTCCCACAAATTAGTGCTCCACACCACACATAACTCAATTGGCAGCCATTTTCGTCAGGTCAAACGAAGACAATATAATGTCACTAGAGAATATTCCCAATAACTTGTTGGACACTCCCGTAAAGCGAACAGATGCATTCGTATACTGCTCACAGTTTTTTGAGAGAAATGTACAAATACATGCCTTTCCATGCATGTAGGATGTAGGGGAAATAAACAACAGTAAATACCAAGAGGTCCATCGCAAAATACTAATAGTAGCAGAAGACCATTTCCTGGCGTTTTAGATGTTCCACTTCAGTGGGAAGTTTTAATACAGTGACGTCATTTAGCAAAGTAATTTTGTCCTTGTTCGACCTCTAGAAAATGAGTTACGTACTAAATCCAAGGAAAAAAATTCAAACAGATCATTTTTGTCACGGTTTTCACGCTGGCGAGTGTTTATGATCGGTAATAGTTTCAGTCGTATGATATATTGAAATGGTGTACTTTTATCGTCTTTTATTTGTGATGTCATTTGGCGTCACACATTTGTGTTACGCAAGTGCATGGAAGGAACCATAGCTCTTCTGTGTCAATGAAAATCTTAATTTCTAAAAATAACACCAAATGTATCAGAAATGACTAAAATACCATCACAATGGCTATGGAATCACATCTAGTGTTAGCAATGTTATCCAAAGAAATCACCATTATTACAGAAAAATTAACAAGAAAGAAATAGAAATATATTGTCCTATAAGCATGTACTTTAATTCTATGAAGCAGCAATCTACATTTCAAATATTTGTTTATAGAAAGCACCCCTAAAACACTTCAGAAGCCCCCTTCCACCATTTTATGCACATGCAAAAATTGACAACATTTGAGATGTTCCCTTTTACCATCTCAGGCATGCTACACATTTGAATTATTTTAAAATAACTTTCTACCAGGTTTCCCTGAGATGGATAACATTATTATTTAAAAAAAACATATTGTTCTTCTTTTTGTTTTGGTAAGAGAAATATAGGAAGCCCAATTTTATGAAACTCTCTTTGTATCTCTATAAACTAGTTGCTTGTTTTATTATACCACTGTAAGCTAGTAACAAGTGTAAGCTAGTAACCAGTCCTATGTAACCAATGTAAACTAGTAACTGATTTTATGTCACCAGTGTAAACAAGCAATAAGAATTATGTTATCTATGTATAAACATTAGTATTTAGCTTTATGTAATACATGTAAACTAGTAACTAGTGTAAACAAGCAACTTATTTTATGTAACTAGTATAAACTAGTAATTGGTTTTAATAAATCTGTGTATTAACAATAGTAATTAGCTTTCTGTAACAAGTATAACCTAGCAATCATATCCTATGTAACCAGTGTAAACTAGTAACTAAGGTAAAACCACAAATATAATGTTGAGCATTTTTATAATATTTTAACATCTTACCTCCATGACTGTGATGAAGTCTGTATTATTGTAGTATGTTCATTCATTTCTTCTTGCAAAACACTCATTTGCTCTTTCAAAGAACCCAAACAACTCTTCAAAGATTGTAATGGTCTAAAAGAAAGAAACAAGCCATGCATGGCACAGTCCCTGTTAGTTATCTCACTTATAATATAGTTTTGTTTATAGAAATATAGTTGGAACATAAACATGTCAGAGATATGGATCCGGAAGCTGATGCTTATGATGATTTTTTAACATTAAAATGATTCATAAAATAACATTCAGTCTGATCGTCAAACAAGTACTTGTCCATATTGAGAGATATTACTCTGAACAGCACTAATTAAAATAAAATGGCCATCGGTCGACCATTTTGAATATATCTGCATATCTATAACATGATGTATAATGAATATATCAAATTTGAACATAATCAGTCAAAGCATGTCAGAGATATGGCTCTAGAAACACATTCATTAAAACAAAATGGCCACCAGTGAGCCATTTTTTATCGGATCTGAAAAACAAAATGACATGCATCAGGAACCCATAATGTCCAATTTATGTACCAAGTTTGTAAGAAATCCATCCATAAACAACTGAGATACGGTTCCGGAATGCCAGAATGCTTTATTTTTGATGACTTTTTAGCACAAAAATGGCCACCATTTGGCCATTTTAGATCGTCAAACCAATAAATCTGTATATCACTGATATGATATATAATGAATATATAAAATTTGAACATCGGTCAAAGCATGGCAGAGATATGGGCACTAGAACCACATTCATTAAAACAAAATGGCCATCAGTTGGCCATTTTGAATCTGATTTGAAAATCAAAATAACATGCACCAAGTTTGAACAAAATCCATCCATAAACGAGATATAGTTCCATAATGGTAGAAATGCTTGATTTTTATGATTTTTTTCAGCACAAAAATGGCAGCCATTCGACCATCTAAAATCAGA